TAGGGTAAGTCTACAAATCCTGTCTGAGGAAATGCCATTCAAGCTGAATGATGAACAAGTACAAGAGAAAGGTTCCAGGCACAGAAAACCTACAGAATTCACCAGCAGGTACACATCTCCAAAGAAACAACATAAATATTCCTTTTTTTCTCCTAACATCTGCTAGATACCCCCCAACCTGCTTCCACATGACGGAAAAGCAATTCATGAGCTTCCCTGAGAGCACCTTGCACCATTCCTCACTCCCCTTCACAGCCCTGGCATTTCTCACAGTGCCAAGTCCATGAAGGGTGGTGTGAAGGCTTAATCCATCTGGAATGTTTCCTAAAAGAAATCTTAAAACGTATGGTTCAAGGTTATGTCAGCTAAAAAAAGGACTTCAAAAACTCCCTCTTTAGAACCAATGAGAAATATGGTAAAAATGGTCAGGATCACTTTTTCAGAACTCTGAAAATTAACCAAGGGCTTACAGCAATTCAGGGAGTGCTTATCCAAGAAAAATGGCTGAATCGTGGTAAAAACAGCAAGCTTAATGACATTTTAGCTTGCCCTATTGCCACCCCCTCTCTAAAGCTCCACAGTAACCTTGAATATCAATATCTGCAGTCATAGTGCAATCAGTTGCCCTGCAGCCACTAGAGGGGGTAGAATAGGGTTGGAACTACTCCGAAACTTCGTTCCTAGAAAATTATCATTACTTGACCTGTGTGGCAGTCCCCTGGAAAATCCCACTTGCAAGACTGTCTTGATCTGACCTGACTTGGAGCTCCCCACTGGAAAAAGTCTTTTCCTCCGGGATGTTGGCTGAAAACTTTTAAAGATAATTGTTTAACTTGGCAGCTACCTGAAGCAAGAGATAACAGACAAACAACAAGTAAACCCAAAATATTAAAATAAAAAACTAGGAAATGAGATGTCCTAAGGGCTTTGAAGAGTTCCAGTGCATTCCTGGAAATATGGAAGGCCATGCACTCGTGTAGCACTGAACAAATGCCCAGGGCTTTACTCATGCTCCGAAAAGACCTGAGAAGTCCCAATGTTTCAGCAATGGCTGACTTTGAGGTTCTGTGCAAGCAGGAAGTAAAAGCTAAGGCAGAATTGTCAATTGCCGGCCACGTGTTGAAGTAGGCCTCAACATGCACACAGAGCCCCTTAGCAAAGAATGGGAGACTTGTTGGTTCCTAGTGTAAAAATACTCTGCTCAAGTATCGGTTGACCACTAACCTAACAAAGTAGGGACATAAGTGGCCGCATATGATAAGGAATACAAACTAAGTCACTAAAACAAACAACAATAAGCAGCAATAACAATAAACCTGAGAGGAGAATCTGATTTCCAGAGTTGCCACATTATGTTATTAAAAATATCCAGTTTTCAGCAAAAAATGATAAGACATGCAAAAGGAAATATGAAATAAGACATGAAACAAAAAAATACTAACCATACACAGAGGAAAAAGCAATCAATATAAACTATCCCTGAAGAAACTCAGACATTGGGCTTACTAAAAAAGACTTCAGATGGTTTAAATATATCCAAAGAATGGAAAAAGTCAAGTCAAAGAACCAAGTATCAATAAAGAGATATAAATTATAAACAATAAAGATTAGAATAGAAATAAATGAAGTATAAACTAGAATATCAAAAGAAAAAATAAAATCAAACAAAATAGACAAAACCAAAAGTTAGTTCTTTGTAAACAATACTGGCAACTCTTTAGCTACATTGACCAAGGGGGAGGGAGGAAAAAAAGAAAAAGAACACATTACCAAAAGGAAGAGGAGAGATGTTTTCCTTGTGACCTAACAGAAAGAAAAAGGATTATGGGGAATACTCTGAATAATTGTATGCCAACAAGTTAAATAACCTAGATGAAATGAGCAAATTCCTAAAAAGTTACAAAACTAAACTCAAGAAGAAATTGATAATGTGAATATGCTTGTAAGTGGAGATATTTAATTTTTTTAAAAACCTCCCACAAGGAAAATCTCTGGACTAGTTTACTTCACTGGTGAATTCTACCATATGGTTAATGAAGAATTAACACCAATCCTTTAAAAATTCTACCAAAAAAAAAAAAATAGAAGAATAGGGAACATTTCTGAAGATATTCTATAAAGCTAGAATTATCCTACTATCAAAACCACCCCAAAACATTGCAAGAAAACTATAGACTAATATCCCTTCTTAATGTTAATGTAAAATTCCTCAACAAAATACTAACAAATCGAATCCAGTGATATATAAAAATTATATGTTTTATATGGATTATACACTGTGATTAAGTAGGATTTATCCCAGCAATACAAGGGTGGTTCAACATCTGAAAATCAATTAACGTAAAACATCACAATATAAAACATTATGTTAAGTGAAAGAAGCCAGACACAAAAGACCAAGTATGCAACAGTAGTAGGCTTTACCCTTAAAATTGTGTTATAAGAAAGATAGGTAAAGTATCTGTGATAGGCTCTAAGGGTGAGTTTTGAGGCCAGAGAAATGCAGAATTGGAAATTCACCGAGGACATCTCCAAGAAGGAAATAGTGATCTTGTGATGGAAAAGAGCATAAAAATGGGAAAACTTCCATCCTGAGTCAGATCCTTGTTCCATGCACTCTAACGTTCTTTCTTTGACAGGATCCTTTGTACGGGTACGTGGATATCTTCCTTGATATCAACCACCAAAGACCTGTAGTCTCTTCTCACATCATCTAAATTCCTGAGCTACTCCTATGGCTTATGCATGCGCTGATCCAAACTATAGAGGCATGGCAAGAAATGATTGATAAATTTTTTTATAAATCGTTTTCAATTCTACAATGGTGTCATAAACTGGAAGCATTGACATAAGTATAGCTGGTACTACATTTGAAGGAGCAATTTTCTGTCAAAGGAAAATAATAGATTCTAAAAATAAACAGATCATGGAGATCTGTTTTTATTCCTCTTTCTCCATTAGCACTGTGTTCAATAATTCAAGCTTCAAGCATTGTAGTCATTTAGATTAATGTAATATTTGTGTTGTGGCTTGGGGTCAGATAGGTTTCCCACATTATTCCCACCATTCCCATCTGTACCTTTTTATTTCCTAAAGACCAAGAATTTGGAAAGCCCTAAGTCAGGACAAAGGTCTAATGAGGAGATGGTACGGGAGAATTCATGACAATCAAGGACATTCCCTCTCATCATTGTAGACACACAGGCATGCACATACCGGTGCATTTCCATTAGATTTGTAGATGAAAGCTCCATAAAGGCAGCCTTCTCTTCGATTCTCCACAATATCTCCAAATCTACCTTGTGGGCACTGTTGGTCCTCTGTGAGTGCAATGCTCACCATTTCTAAGATGAGATCCAGCGCCTGCTGACTCACACTCAAGCCTCAGAACTGTAGGGCTCAGATACTCACATTGGTCAAGCCAATTAATTTGCTTTTTGCTTTAACTCAGCAAGAAGTACTCAAAATTAAATTTAAAATTCCAAATAAAATATTTTCAGCAATCATGAAGGGGAGTGTTAATTGTCATGATCCTTTTTGTCCTACCATTATATTGTTTTCTTCCCCAAAACCAAGTCATTTGTGACTCTTTTCATATTAGAATACATAATTTGACATATTTACTAAGTTTTTTTAAAAAAATATATATTTTATTGATTTTTCACAGAGAGGAACGGAGAGGGATAGAGAAGTTAGAAACATCGATGAGAGAGAAACATCTATTCAGCTGCCTCCTGCACACTCCCCACTGAGGATGTGCCCGCAACCAAGGTACGTGCCCGCAACCAAGGTACATGACCCCGACTGGAATCGAACCCAGGACCCTTGAGTCCGCAGTCCAACGCTCTATCCACTGAGCCAAACCGGTCAGGGCATAACTAAGTTTTTTAAAATCTACTCCAAAACAATCCCAATTATGCTGAATAAACAGGTAGTTTAGCCCTCTCCATTCCAGATTATTTCTGCTTTTCATTTATTTATTTTTTAAATATATTTTATTGATTTTTTACAGTGAGGAAGGGAGAGAGATAGAGAGCCAGAAACATCGATCAGCTGCCTCCTGCACATCTCCTGCTGGGGATATGCCCGCAACCAAGGTACATGCCCTTGACCGGAATCGAACCTGGGACCTTTCAGTCGCAGGCCGACACTCTATCCACTGAGCCAAACTGGTTTCAGCTATGCCTGCTTTTTAAAACAAATGTTAAGAAAAGAATGGAGTCTGAACCAAAAAAGAAAGGGAGCAATTGCTACCTCTGGTTTTAACTCTGACATCTCTAACAACTGTAACTTTTAAACAAATTCCTTTGGTGATAGAATGTTATCTGATTTCCCTACCCCATTAGTACTGTTATGTAATATATGCACTATGCATCATATTACTTTTATGAAACAAGGAAAATCCTGAATTCCAAAACTACGGACTTGTAGCTCAATTGAAGTAAGGGGCCAGAACACCAGGAGAAAAAGCCCTGCACATTATATATTTAAGTTTACGTAGGGAAGTTGGGCAAATCACCATCTCCCTAGCATTTATGTCATCATTTGGAAAATAAGGGAGTTAGTCAAGGTGACCTCTAAAATCCTTGATAGAAATTAAATTCTAGGATTTTACCTGATCCATGTAAATCCTACAACACATAAATTATGTTCAATTTTGGACTATAAGGAATTTCTATAAAATTATGGACTTTTGACTTTGCTTGTGATGTGTAATGAGCACACATTATTTGATGTCTCTTCAATTATGTAATTTAATTCAGCTTTAATACCTGCTGCACCAAACACAGATGATATGCCTTCCATAATGGCCTTGTGAATACTGGGTTGAGAGAGGATAAATCCAAGTGTCCAAAATGCAATCTTAAAAAGAAAAACATATATCAAAAATTACAACCTTCTTTGAAAGTAAACAAATGCAGATTTAGTATTAGGCTCAAACATATGTAATACTTTCAATACCAAAGATTTTTTAAAAACAAAAAATAAATAAAATAAGCAAGGAGATTGTTTAAATTAAACTTAAAAGCACGTTAGTGAAGAGCATCTTTGAAAACAACCAAGTTTTATGAACAAAAGAGAAAGTATCTCTAAGAGGTCCAATTTATAATTTTATTCTGATTATAGTTTCATTATGTTGTTTATATAGATTAATCTACACAAAAATGTGCAAAGTAGGATTTCTTTTATAAATGTACAATATAAAATATTACATAGGCATACAGTGAATATTTTTTGTTTTGCTTATTTGTTTTATTAATCTCACCCCAGGATACTAGTTTTTCTGTTGTTGTTGTTGTTGTTGTTTTTAGGATGAGTGGAAGAGAGGAAAGGTAAGGAGGGA